TCAAGTATCAACATTAACATACTACTACTAGATAAGACAGATAGTAAAATTGAATCTAAGTATGAAAAAATATTGTTTTCCCGCTTAAAATTACTATATTAAAAAAAAATTGTTTTCAAAAAAGTAATTCTCTATTTTAATTATAAGCCTTTCTAATTTATTTAATTGTCGCCTGTGCCTCCGTCCGTGTGGAATTTAAAAAAAACCCAATTTATTAAAAAAAACAAATTTCATCAAGATCCGTAGAACGGTTCCGTAGATATCATCTAACAAACATCCGTCCATCCATCTCAACTTAAGATAAGAAAGATAAATAATAAAATAAAAACAAAAGTCAAATACAAGTAAAAGTTTTTTGGTAAGCCCTACCTAACAGCCTGTAGAAATTGAATAAAAATAACCCTATATTTACCCTTCGAAAAACTTAAAATGGCGGATAAATTGATAGGGCTGGTATGCACTGACATTTCGTGAAAGGTCAGCATCAAAGTGGATAGGGCTAATCGGAACACTTAGGTAAATAAATTGCAAACCATCGGTAATTTGATGGATTATTAAGTGTTCATCGCGAAGATTATCGGAAACTTTGGATGTTTTGACTTCCAGAATTGATTGAAAAGCTTTTTGCCCATCTTATTAAAACACCAATTTGTATATAAAGACATTCAAATATAATGCTAATTAATAGAGCGGACGTTACGCATATTTGAAACATAATGAAGTCGTAGTATAGTTTTTGCGTCAAACTAAACTACCGAAATTGTATCATTCTAGAATTTTTTAAGCGTAGATTGGTCTGTAATGTCCTGTCTATTTGAGAGCGTCGGTGGCTCAGTGGTTTCAGCACTTGACTTGTAATCTGCAGGTCCAGGGTTCGAATCCCGCCATGTACCAATGTGATTTTCGATTTACATATGTACATTGATCCGACGTTCTTACGGTGAAGGAAAACATCGTGATGCAACCTGCACATATCCGAGAAGAAATTCAAAGATATGTGAGAAGTCAACCAACCTGCACTTGGCCAGCGTGGTTGACTATGGCCTAGTCACCCTTAACTTAGGGTAGGCTCCGAGCCCCTCGGTGGGGACATACAGTCAGCTGATGATGATGATGTCCTGTCTATTGATTTATGTTGTAAACTCTGTATGCATAGGTGTTTTTGTTCAACAGAAAACTGGACTGTACTGTATGTTTTTCGCATGTATGTGTCCTTCCTTCAAGTGATGTGTTTGTAATTCGAATGATATTTTTTCCGGGTACAAAGTAAGTTATGGTCCTAGGAATCAACTTATCAAGTTTTTTTGTTGCAGCCTTGCACGGGAACATGGTCCGTATGTCTTAGGTCATATGGTACACATTGTCGTAAATTTCGGAATTGTGATGTATTTTCGTTATTTATAATTAAATTCCAGCTTGATACCTTCACGCGTTTTTGAGAAAAGAGTCTTGACAGACGGACGAACAACAAAGTGATCCTATAAGGGTTCCTTTTTTTCATATGAGGTATGGAACACTAAAGAAAATATTTTTGTCTATTTGTCTCCGCAAGTAAGTCTTGGTTAATAAATAATAATAATAATCTGCGACATCTGGGGCGATTTTGACATGACTTATAATGAAATGTAGTCTATGTATTCGGAAGTTAAATGTGAAAGAAGTTGTAAGCAACATCCAGTTAAAAAAACAACTATCGCCTACTTTTAAAAACAAAAAAACATTTAAAGTTAAAGGAACATTTTGCAGTCCGGTACGATGTTTACTGTTCGAGGATGCGTAACTACCCTTGACATTCCGACTTGTCTTATTGTTTATCGTATGTTTATATGAATTTTAAATTAAAACCTTTGCACATGTTTACGTTAAGTTTTGAGAGAACTATTTAAAAGGTTAAAAATTGCACAATTGAGTTAAGTTCACAGGAAATACCCTGTAGGTTTTACCGTTTATGTCGCAAATTTACGTAAATTTGCGACATAAACGGTTGTATCTTTAGATTTCACAGCACCTAGCGACCGCAGACCTGAACACTTGATATAAATTCCAGCTTGATACCATCACAGACTGACGGACGTACAACAAAGTTATCCTATAAGGGTTCCGTTTTTTTCCTATGAGGTACGGAACCCCAATTACGTTATAAATTATTTTTTAATATTTAAAATGTCCCAAATTCAATATACATACTGCATTTCCTTATTGAATAATTCATAGCAGGTTCATGTCTTAAAATTCTATAAGGAAAGGCCCCAGTAATATTTTATGTCCTACCATATTCGGCTAGGCGGGTGCGGCGCCGGCGTTCATTAAATATTACTCAGTTTTCTATATTATCTTCACGAAAAAAATATTTTAATGATTTTCTTTTAATTGAAAAAATATGTCATTAAATCAATTTGAAATCTTGGATGAATAGATGTATCAAAAACATAAATAATATCCTTAAATCTGTAGGTCCCCTTCAAATCCATCCATCCATCCATCCATCTACACATTTGCATTTATAATATTAGTAAAAAGTAAAATAATATTTAGGTTTTAATTAAATCTAACTTATGTCTGAAAACACGATGAACTTAATATAAATGTTCATTGAATCGAAAATTTCCAAATTGATTTCACGTTCTAATGAACGTTACAATGCGCTAAGGCGCTAACAGTTAATATTTTAATGATCACGGAAATTAGGTTACAAATATCAGAATCAAGACTGTCTTTCTAAATAAAGGCAACAAAATTATTTATATTACAACCTCACTCAGGATGGTTTAATATCGGAGCCTTAATGTGGATTTAGTTATAGAAAACTACATTACCTTGCTTAAGTAGTTCCTTAAAATAAATTGTTTACTATAAATAGGCGAATGATTCACTTTTGCATAAAACTGTTCAGAAGTCAAGGTCTCTTTCAAGTCATGTTTCAATTATCGTTTTAATATTTAAGCCGTATTTTAGGAGACATAAAACTAATTGATTTAAAGATTAATATGTGATTAAAAGGCTATAAAATGTTAGTACGGTCAGAGTTAGTGGCTTTTATCTTGATTGCCTTCTAACCCTTATAATAGGGTTTGAGTAATTCAATATACATAATATACTAGGATATAAATATAAGGTAAATAGGAATAACAAAGGTTGACTTTTGTGATGATATAAAGAGGTAAGCTTTGTTTATTTTTAAGTTTAAAAATTATTAGACCGATTACTATTTTTTAACATCAAAATATTATATTATATTAACTCTGAGTAACCTTCATTTAATGTTATAAAAATGTTTTTAAAATTGTTAAATTTTATAAAAAAAAAGTAATTTTAAAGAGTGACGAAAATTCAATATTATTACCAAAAATATAGTACAAACCACCACAGATTATATTAAAGATTCTAAGCTAACATATAGTCTTCGATGATCAAATATAAACGGACAAGATTTATCTAAGACCAGCTGTCGACCGCAACTCTGTCCGCGCGGGATTAGAAATAGATGTTGGCCGATTATCAGACCTACTCAATATGCTCACAAAATTTCATGAGAATCGGTCAAGCCGTTTCGGAGGATTATGGGAACGAAAATTGTGACACGAGAATTTTATATATAAGATAGAGATAGATGTAGACGATTTTCCTCTACCAAATGCTTAGGGGAGAAAACGCTTTAGTAAATTTTATATCTAACATATTTATGTCGATAGTTACCAAAGGAAATATACTTTTAAGATGTCTCTCCAACTATTAAAGTTTATTGTATGTTAAAGTTACTTTTGCAAACGTTCTCATTTATTACCTACTCATTAAATTTTACGACTGAAATTTCTTGGAAACAAAAATATTATGGAACTTTTGCCGTTGGATTGTAGAGATGGATGATTAAATTATTTAAACTTTCGTGAGACATTATACTAAACTGATATAAAAACGGCTAAACACTCACGTATATTCGTCCGGTGGCGGCACCGACTAGTTTCGAGCCCATCGGGGGCCCTTCATCAGGATGAGTGGTACTGGTATTATTTCGCAGATACGGCCCGTCGCTCACTCACACAGATGGATGATTGTTTGAAAATATCACTGGAACGACTGAACGGATCTTGATGAAATTTTGCACAGATATCGAACATAGTCTGCATGAAGGCATAGACTACTTATTATTTTTTTTTTAATTCCCGAAATAGTTGTGGTTGACTGTTAGTGCATTAATGGACTTGAAAGCTAATCCTTGACTTGTTACCACTAAGTCGCTAGTCTATACGATATAGGCAGAAAGTGCAACTGAGTTCGTCAATTGACATATTCTACTAGGGTTATAGTAGATCTTAATAATATACGAATTTAATTGAATGGGTGGTAACACGCACATGTATTTAAGATAATCAGACATTCACCAGCCTCGCTGCAAGGTCTCACTCCTCCTACTTGCCTATTGTTCAATTTAATGTGTGAAGCTTCAACATTACGAGTATATTGTAATTACACAAACTTTAGTAGTTTTTTTTTCTTAATTCACCCTTAACTTAGGGTAGGCTCCGAGCCCCTCGGTGGGAACGTATAGTGAGCTGATGATGATGATGACACAAATTTTTGTAAACGAACATGCAAGTACGTGCCACGGATTTTTGACCGTTCGAGAAGAAATGATTGAATCAGGCAATAGAAAATAGTTAAAACAAATTTGTTTTAAGTCTTTATCTCAGATACCTGCGGTTAATGGGATATATATCTTGACATTTATCAAAGTAGAGAATTGATATTGCGACTTTCCAACCTGATGTTAAGTGGTGACTAAAAGATGGTACGTACTAGCTATTGTTAGGAAGAAAATGTGACAGTGTGCCGGTATACTGGCGCAATACTAGCCTTACTAAAACGTCGACATTTATGTCCCCCCACTAATCATTCGGACACTTGACTTTGTAACGAAAGCACGTCATTAACGCCAAATGATTCAAAATAATAATATCTAAAAGTATGTTTAAAATAAATTCAAAATGAAGTATACGTACCAACAGAATACGACCACGATCGCCCGACTGCCATTTCGTACTTCGATCTGGAAAAAAAGTTTTTAATACGTATAAATCTTTTAATTATTACTGGCAGTTACATATGTAAAATATTCCACTGTAAACATATTTTTTATGCTTGATATTCATGATTATTTGTCGTATTGATTTATACAGTTTTAAAATAAAACAAAAAATGAATCGTCGTATTTGTACAACGCAATGAAATGACGTAGACAACTTACCGTGGGATTCTGAAACCGAAATTTACAAAAACACATTGTTATCTCTGGTATAATGACATAGATAACAATGTCTTGTCGGAACCTTGCTTAAAGGGACTTCTTTTAATGATATACATATTTCAGTTAATTCATCATCATCATCATCATCAGCTCCATGTACGTCCCCACGTTTTAGTTAATTATTCGTTTATAATATTGTAATTTACTTCATATATTTAATACTCATTTTATTCATATTAGTGATACAATTTTCTTTGTTAAATAATAAAAAAAGGCAGATGACAATATGTTAATACGGAGATTTTGGTCTTAGAAACCAACGGTATTTTTTTATATTATAAGTTGGCAAACGAGCGGCGGCCACCTGAAATCGCTGAAATAGCGAAGTGACCGTTGCCCATAGACATACGCAATTGCATATTCGTTGCCTACCTTTAGTCGACGAAGGAGAGGATGTACAGAAAGAAAATATTTTCCCTTTCCATGCATCCTCTCATCTGTCTTCTGTGTGGTCGTGGTATTTAACCGGGCGAATTCTTGCGAAGATGTTAAAGCGGGCTCTACCACTGTTAAATCGTATAAAAAACCGTTCTTTTGTATGTGTGAGTGAAAATTAACGAAATTATGGTCTTTCAATCTAAAAACGAGTAGAATAAATCTCAAATAACGCTCATTTTTCGTCGGAACGCTCAGTTTCAGTTTCGAACGAGGGGCATTAATCATTGAAGCCATTCACAAAAGACCTGTCAGGTGTACCTACGTTGAATTACGATTCGTGCTATCCAAAATTCCTTTTTTTTCTTTGTACAAAGAGATAACATATGACGGAGTTTATATTTTAAATCGGTTTATTAACAAAGAAAAATAATGGTAACCTCATGATTTGACCTTAATATATAACATATATAGCAGATAATTTGAGAGTAATTAATTAACTATACTAATTCATAACGAGCGTCGGTGACTCAGTGGTTAAACACTTGCAATCTGCAGATCCTAGGTTCGAATCCCGCCATGTACCAATGTGTTTTTTCGATTTCCGATTTACATATGTACATTTATCCGACGTTGTTACGATGAAGGAAAACATCGTGATGCAACCTGCACATATCTGAGAAGAAATTCAAAGATATGTGTGATATCAAGCAACCCGCACTTGGCCAATGTGGTTGACTATGGCGTAGTCACTCCTAACTTTAGGGTAGGTCCGAGCCCCTCGGTAGAGACTATAGTGAGCTGATGATGATGAATACATAACTCAGTATTACATATGCGATAAAATAAAGTAATAAGGTTATTAATATATAAATATTGATATTGGCGGAACATAAAAGAATCATAATTGAATACAAATAAGATTAGAAATATAATAATGTTTTTATCGATATGTTTTACTATATTGAGTGTTTATTCTAATCTTGATATTTGAGTATCAGTAAAAAATATTTATATTTTTATTCTTTCATCAAACTGTCTTTGATCAACTATACTATTGACATGTAAATATACACGTCAATAGTACGGTTATTCAAATGAAATTGCTTTCAGTTCTTATTTGTGGCAACCTCCCGGATATTAACTGGATATGTAAAAATATGTTTATGTCATTTTCAGCAGCGTGGCAGAATATATTTGAAACTTAATAGAACTAACCTAACATTTTTAAGATTATTTAAGTTTTTTTTATATCATAAGGTGGCAAACGAGCGAGCGGCCACCTGAAATCGCTGATATAGCGAAGTGACCGTTGCCCTTAGACATACGCAATTGCATATGCGTTGCCTACCTTTCATCAACGGAGGAGAGGATGCACAGAAAGAAAATATTTTCCATTCCCATGGATCCTCTGATCCGGAAAGTCTACTTCCACTTCCCATCCTTTCCTTATAAAGGGTGGGAAGGTAAATAGGACTTAATTAGGCCTCCGTGACGCAATATATAACCGGACCTATGTAATCTGTAATAAGGAACTTGGAAGAACATTGTTAAAAATTGTCTGATAAAATATCCATTTAGATATACATTTTACTAGAATTAACAAATGAATAATAACAGAAACAAAAAAGTACGTATTATTAGAAGCACTCAAATATCGTAATACTGAATATCAGGAGACTGGTAAATAGCATATTAAAGTACTATTAAGTTGACAGGAAAGCGAAGAAGACATACGTTTTACCCAAGAGGATTACACCATGTCGTAAAGATTTTACTTTACCCTAATGTAACGCCGCTTATTCATTCATTTATTACTGGGTCATTGATTCTTGTGCTTCATGCATCCCAAGTATACGTTATGAAATAACATCGCAACAAAACAAGCTATTACATGTTCCCACCTCTCGTTTTATTTATGACTATTCGCGATGTTAATAGCCTCGGCTTTCTAACGACCGTCGCTCGAACTCACGTCTCGTAATCCTGCCAGCGCCAACGGTAATAAATCATACAGACAATAAATACGATATGCATGTCACTGGACATTGCTTGTAATAAAAAGGTTATTATTTGTTTTTTTTTTATTTACATAAGGTGGCAAATGCACTGTAGTAGCTAAGCGACCGCTACTTATGGATATCAGCAATTGGTGAAGCATTGTTTACTTTTAATCAACGGAGGAGAGGACGCACAAAAATAATATTTCCTATGCGTCCCCTTCTCCGTCAAATCCTTTCAAGTTCCTATCATTTCCTTGTAAGCAAAGGGTGGGATGCGATACAAAAATATCATTTTCTTTGAATATATTATTACTAACTGTCGTCCGTGCGGTATTAAAAAAAACTAAATAAGCAGCCAGTGTTCATCCAGATTAAGTGCTACATTTGTGCCAAATTTAATTAAGATCCGATAAGCCCTTTTGAATATACCTTCTAGCAAACATCCATCTATCTAAACATTCGTATTTGTAACATTACTAAGGATTACACTATCAATATGAATGGAAATATATTGAAGTTAGTTTGTCACTAACAATGTTGTGCATGCGACAGCGAAGCGAATGGCGAGCGAGATTGCATTTTATTGTCATTGTCAGAACCAGTCAGTGCAGCGGCCAGGAATGCGGACTGGATATTCATACGTATGGTAATCATTACGTGCCGTGTTGCTATTTCAGTTGAACGTTTACAAATATAAAATAGCTCGGCTTGTCGCCGATCTGATTTCAAACATTTTTTGCCATATAAAAATTATTTTAAAACTTGAGAAAAGCACACTTTAAGTTTCTGTAGCTATCTTGTACTAGAAATGTAATCCCATGCATTTTTTTCATTAATTTGTGCAATAAAAGCGTGAGAAAGGCTTCATCAGAGTTAACAGGGAAGTTGCTCAAGCGATGCAAAAATGTGTCTCATCAGATCGCATTGAATTCGATTAAAACAATTAAATGTGCAGTCTCATTTGTGTTTCCCACGCTTGAACGCATTGCGTCAGTTCAGATGTTCAATGTCCTCGGAAAAAATGATCGTCTGTCGCAAGAGACGGCAGCGGGGGACGGCAGGGTAGGCGAGGGGGCGGCGGGATTCGCAGCAGTGAAAGCGCTTCGCAATTAGCGACCGTGACGCAACGCATCTCGATGCGGTCTGCCCCCGAATGGCAACTTGTTATCAAATACCAGGCCTATGACAACATGTACCCTTACACACGGATTACATTATTCCAGTCTAGCGATCGAAACAGCGCTGGATTACTACTGAATAAAACACATACTGGTACCCACGTATTGAATTCCTACATGGCATTAAATTTATCTAGTTATATTTAAGCTCTGGATTCTACCGTTGTACTGGAATGATGTAAACTGGGCATTGGAGTAAAACCTAAGTTTTGAAGTAGTAAAAAGTGCTCCAAAAGAATGCCAGGGTCCACAGAGATTACTACCAGGCGACCAGAAATAGTTAGTCTTTATAACTCTCCATGTAATAGGATATTCTGAATTTTATTTTCACCTAATATTCATTACTTACATTGAATGGTTGGGATCCACTCAAGCGATAAACTTTTTGTTACTCGTTTACTTGCTATGTTACCCTAGTACCATGGTATCTGGTTTAAAAGATATTTAATATTAAAAAAATCTTTTATATTTTATTGTTCATGTAAAAAATTACATTACTTTAGTATATACGATATTATTGTCAAATCACCACCATATAATACTAATTTCGTAAACAAATTTACATATTCCAATCGTCTTTGAATTAGCATTTGATAAATTGTGTAGAGCTGAGTACGTTGTAATAGTAATATTAACCTATTTCGTCTTGCTGATGTTACTGTGTAGTCGCAAAGATTTTGTAGGGTACAGGGATGTTTAAATATGACGAAGAAATTCGGCGACATTATTCAATTTTTTATTTTCGCTGTTATTGATTTATTTAATCTTAAATTCAATGTTAAAGACTTGCTTTTAATAGTCATGTAAAAATTAAATAAGATTATTATTTAAAGAATTTTTATTTTACTTAAAATTGTACTCATACTCTATATAATAAAAATGCAAATGTTTAGTTGGATGTTTATTAGAAGGTATCTCCCGAACGTCTGCGTGGATCTGAAATTTGGCATAGTTGTAAAACATAGTCTGGAAGAACACATAAGCTACTAATTAAGTTTTATTTCAATCGCGCGCGGACAGAGTCGTGGGCGAGAGCTAGTGATATTATCGCATGATGATGAACATTGTTACCGTTTCAAACGAGTATCCTGATGAATTATTAATAGTGAAACGGACTGTTCAACTCTATAAAGCCGTAACAAAAATGATTCAGTTTGTAACATCAAAGTACGCGATATACT